CTCTCACGTCTATCTCTCTATCTCTCTCCCACTTCTCTCTCTCTATCTCTCTCTCTCTCTCTCTCTCTCTCTCTCTCTCTCTCTTTCTCGCTCATGCCTCTCTCTCTCTCACACAGGAGCATGAGTCTGAGGGCGGGCGTACGCCGCTGATGAAGGCAGCGCGCGCGGGACACCTGTGCACCGTGCAGTTCCTCAACTCTCGTGGGGCGGACGTGAACAAGTTCACGACGAACAACGACCACACGGTGCTGTCGCTCGCCTGCGCCGGCGGACACCTCGCCGTCGTAGAACTCCTCCTCGCCAACGGCGCCGACCCCTCGCACAAGCTAAAGGTACGTGCACGCGCGTGCTTGGTGCGGTACGGGGTCAGAACGCTTAGGCCAAAAAAAAATAGGTGTGTTAACTGTGTTTCCTATTGCATCGAAAACAAAAGTAGGGTAGGTAGGTAGGGAATTTTTTTATATATTTTTTTTTTCTTATTAATACAATTTTACATGTGTTTGCTAATTCGACATCTTACAGGTTATAAATCCTCGACAGGTTATCGGTCGACCGGAAACGCACCTATTTTTTTGTTTGGCCTTATCAGTAGTCTCCGATGCGACGGTTCGTTGCCGCGGTTCGATTGTCGCAAACGTGATGCGGGCGCGAAAGACCGAAGAGAAATTTCTCGGCGAAACTGCTCTTTCGTTGCGTGAAACGGTGCTGCAAAGCAGTAAGAAAACTTCTGATGAGATCGATAATTACATTGTCAGTGATCGTGATGACCGAGGACGCTTCCAGCGCGATCCGCAATCACAGCTACGATATTATTATTATTATAGATTAATCGAATTTAATCTGTAGGCAATACATTACCTATATGTACCACCAAAAGGTATCGCCACACAAGCACACCCGAGCCAGTGTTTGCCACTGAGCAGAAAAGGCTGCAGGCCCAGCAAAGCTGTAGGCCCGCCAATTTTGGAGCAAATTACAGTAATAAAACAGCATATCATGTTCTTCCTTGTGTTTATTAGTCATTATCAATGTCCATAATCATAATCCCTCTGTTTTTCCTTCCTCTCGTCGGATGACTGTTTATGCTTCTTTGCCGGGGGGGTGGGGGCTCACAATTAAGGAAACATCGTTGACTTGTTATATGTAGCTACTTGGTAACTACGACTCTCCACTTTGACAACAGAGAGACAGACTGGTAGTCTGGTACACATCGGTAGCAACGTAGTAGCGTCTCATAACATTGCGAGTGGAGCCGTCATACGTACACCAGTCTAACCATGTGTCGATCATACAGTCATGTCGATTGGTCAAAATCTGAGACACTTGCTCAGACCAGACACACGGTCACCCACCAATGAGAAACGATTTCATATTACTCGCAGTTCCGCACTCGACTGGCAACTTGCCCTTTAGTTTACTACACTGTGGTGCGCAGCTTGGAACAGGGTTCCAGGCTATCGCTCTTTCATAAATTTTACAATCAGGCTGCGCGAATATGCAGTGGGCGAACGCATTGTTTACATGTATGTCATGGTTTATCACGGATTAGTTTTCAAATAAATATCCCTGGAAGTTAATATGCAAGAAAATATTTCTACAGGTAACAGTTTCTTAGTGTTTCGAATTTTCGGTGTTCAAATAGCTCTAGGATCAGCGGGCCTGTTTTATCAAGAAGCTGTAGGCCCGGCATCGAAACTGTCGGCGACGGGCCGACGTGAATTTCGAACACTGACCCGAGCATGTAGACACCATGCTGAATTTGTAGAAAGACCACCCTCAAAAAAATAAAATAAAAAGCCTACCTACCTACCCAAACTTTTCAGCCTGGGTCGGGTGAGGGCAAACAAATTTTTTTTTAATTGTGGCCTTACAGTTCGCAGCTTCATCGTCGAGCTGTCGATATGTGACCGCGGGGTTTCCCGCAATCGAAAAATCGCTTAGTGCATTTTTCTTTAGTGCCGTTTCACGTCGGAGTGTACAAATTGTGAACTAGCATATACATACTGAGAGTCTGAGAGAGAGAGAGAGCGAGAGAGAGGGAGAGAGCGAGAGAGAGGGAGAGAGACTGAGAGAGTAAGGAAGCGAGAGAGAGAGAGAGATAGATAGATAGAGAGAGAAAGCAAGAGAGCGAAAGCAAGAGAGAGAGAGGGGGGGGGAGAGACCGAGAGAGTGAGGAAACGAGAGAGAGAGAGAGAGAGAGAGATAGATAAAGCGAGAGAGAGAGAGTGAGGAAGCAAGCGAGAAAGATAGATAGATAGAGAGAGAAAGCGAGAGAGAGAGAGAGAGATAGGGAAAAAGATTGAGAGGGGGAGACTGTGAGAGAGCGAACGAGAGAGAGAGAGACCGAGACCGAGAGAGCGTGATTAACCCCCCTCCTCCGTTTCCGTCTCTCCGACACAGGAATCGGCAAGTTGACAACGGTCGACGGCAAGGCATTCACGGACCCGGAGGTGCTGCGCAAACTGACGTCATCAGTGAGCTGTGCGCTGGACGAAGCGGCGGCGGCCCTGACGCGCATGCGCGCCGAAAACCCCGGTCAGCTCGGCATCGCAGATTGGTGAGTCGGTGGCTCGGTGGCGCCCTCTCGTGACGGTGGTGCGGGGCGGCGGCGGCGGTGCGGGTGGTGTCGCGGGACGGCATTCGTGGTACGATGCGTTCATAGCGATTCGTATCACGATACAGCATCGTTTTGCGGTACAGTATAGTATCACGATACAGCATCGTTTTGCGGTACAGTATAGTATCACGATACAGCATCGTTTTTACGCGAGCCGCGCCTCCACGCCCGCCAGCGACGAACGCCCACCCGCGTGCCGCGCCGGCGTCGGTGCGCGACGGCAACCGTTGTAGCTTTTTCAACCATCGGCCGTATCACACATCTTGGCCCCGATCGAGCGCCGAATCCCCTCGCGCCGCACGGTCGGACCACGCGAGTCTCGCCGTTCCCCGTTTTACCCGTGGCTTGGCCTACGACGGGAGGACGGTAGAGCAAACACGAGATCGGCGCTGCGCGGCGTGCAGACGACCTCTGCGAACGGTCATGTCGAAGGCATCGTGGTTCAGCTCTTACTGCTCGCACGCAATGCTGACAAGGAGCACCGCGACAAGAAAGGTGAGGCTGCAGACATCAAGCATTAACACTAACGATAACGATAACGATAACACGTAAGACCAGGAGCCCGCGCCGAAAGGTGAGGCTGCAGACATAAAAGCCATTAACACTAACGATAACGATAACGATAACACTAACCTGTATGTAGGTGTTTTACCTGTGTGTATGTAGGTGTTTTACCTGAGTAGTATGTAGGTGTTTTACCTGTGTGTACGTACGTGCATGTTTACGCTGTGTGTACGTACGTGTTTTTACCTGAGTCGGATGTAGTTGTTTACTGAGTTAAGTCCTGTATGGATGTTTTACGCGTGTGGTGTATGTAGGTGTTTTTACCTGTGTGTACGTACGTGTTTTACCTGTGTGTACGTACGTGTTTTACCTGTGTGTACGTACGTGTTTTACCTGTGTGTATGTAGGTGTTTTACCTGTTTGTATGTAGGTGTTTTACCTGTGTGTATGTAGGTGTTTTACCTGTGTGTATGTACGTGTTGCAGGCTTTACTCCGTTGATCCTGGCGGCGACGGCTGGACACGCCGGCGTCGTACAGATCCTGCTAGACAACGGCGCGGACATTGAGGCGGGGCAAGTTCAGAGCGCACAAAGGACACCGCGCTCTCTCTAGCCTGCTCCGGGGGACGCTACGAGGTGAGCGGGGGGTGGCAGGGAGGAGGATTGGCGGGGAGGCTGGATGGGGGGAGGGTGGGCGCGACCATGAGGCGGGCAGGTCAGAGCCACAAGGACTATACCGCGCGCTCTCTATAGCCTGCTCCGGGGGACGCTACGAGGTAAGCGGGGGCAGGGAGGAGGCAGGGAGGAAGTGTGGCGGTGGCAGGAGAAGAGGGGCGGGGGTAGCGTGGTGTGGAAGAGATGAGGTGAGATAGGTAGAGTGATGAAGAAACGACTGTAGAGAGCTAGCAGTAGCGATATCATCATCTCTCTAAGCAACGAATCTGCCGTGCTTGCGTTGCACGGCTCGTGAGGATCTTGCGTCACGGGGACGAACAGGCGCCCGTAACTGTGGTGACTACACGCGACACTCA